TGCTAGTCACTTCTTGCCGCTCGTCATCGTCGATATACAAGCTTACCTAATTGCATACACGGTGGATATTTTAAAAATAAATAAATCCACCTGCCGTTTGCAATCTACAGCTCGTAAGTTTGCCGATCGCCGATGCATACGCGATCCAAGCGCATGCGTGCTGACGCACGCGGTGAGCGCGGTCTTATATGATTATGAATATACAGCAGGTGAGAGAGAACGAGAGAGAATGGTCCAGGTGGGAGCGTGGGGGAGCGGATCGAGTTGTCCAACCAGCGGGATGGTAGCCGCGGACTGCCCACCTCGGCCCATTGGCCGGGTTCGCGAGCCCGCTATCGTATTATCGCCGAGACTTGCCGTTACGATACATCGGCGGCCGACCGATCTATCGCGCCCGTTCTCGAACCTGTCTGCGTGCCACGCACCTGCGATCGATCGCGCGCGACTATCCGCCGCTCGATCGCGTCGCTCGCGGAGACGAAGCCCACGAAGCAACGCGTGAAGGCGCGCGTGCAGCCGAGCGGGTGCTTATTAATGCGAAACGCGTGACGCCCACCTCGTATGAAAATCGGAATGATCCGTGGCGTAATTGGTAATTATGGTAATCCTCTAAGGTAATTTCACGGAAAGTCCGTAAAAATTTTACGGAACTCGTGCAGAGATTGTAGATTAACGGCGAGGAAAAATCGTGGAACTATAAAAATATGATAAACTGCGCAATCGTCGGCTAGATAAGCGATGTATCTGAAATACTATATTAATCTGAAAATACAGAGAGTCAAAGAAACAGCCGTAGGCACGGACATTCCATTAAAAATTGTGTTTCGCTGCGCTCGATTGGTGTAACAATTAGCCTTTTCATACCAAACGTTAGTTTTTTTCTTTGTAAATATGTTACAAAAGATCAATCGACTTACATCCTGAAATAAAGAAAACTTATAATATACTAAACTCTTATAGATCTCATCTACACAGTTTTAATATTTACGGAATAATTATTATATGCATTGTCACAGAACCCTCTTCCCTTTTCAGAATAAAACGGCATATGTATGCGCAACAGTTATTAAAGGACACACATCTTTTAGTATTTACCCTTGAAAATTGAACGAAAGAATTACCGTAACTTACAATAAATTTCATCCTAAGTGATACCACAGAAGTTGAAGAGTACTATCTGATAATTTCACGATCCACCGTATTGTTCTTCCACATTGTAACGAAAATCGACAGTATATCGCGTTCGGCACTTCGAAGAAGTGCACGAGTCGTCCAGGGACATACGATTGCTGGGTAGGAACGTGGAGCCAACTCCGTATATATCCTGAGAGGGAAGAAACGCAGGCAACGGTTGCCAGAGGACGACGAGGGCGACGGAAGACGAAGAGGACGAGGGGGCTCCTGCCGACTTACAAATTATACGCTCTCAACGAGATTTACGGGTGACGCTTTGAGCGAGACCATTGTCCATCCTCGCTCACTTCTTTACCTCTTTACTCCTCCACTTGGTCGTCTTTGTCCCTTCGTGAATCGCCCATCCTCTTTCGGTTCCTCCGCAAGTCCCTTCGTTCCCAGAGGACCGCGTGAGAAGGACGAAAGGACGCGGTAGCGCGCGAGTAGAAGGGAACGAGAGGAAGATAGAGCAGTATTCGTCGCGAAAAAACCGAGGAATGCCGATCGACGAAAGGGAATCCGGTTCCAATCGGATAATCGGAGCTCCGGGTCCTCGCGGGCCCTAGGAGGATTCGCGAGAAGGACGTAATGCGCGACTCGATGACGAACGGTCGTACGAGCGACTGATTTATGATACCCGCAATATTTTTGGAGCAGGGGTAACATTCCGCAGGAATAAGGATCGCAGAAATGACATTTCGTCGATTCTGTAGAAATATTTATAAAAAATATTTCGTTATTTTTTTTTAATTTAAAGAATTTAAAGAATTTAAGTCAATGTGCTTAATACGCCAATAAATTCATATCAAAGTAATGCGTATTAATTGATGAATACTCTGAAATAACAAAGAATCTATATATTGCACACTCGCAGTACTCATCAAAATAAAAATATAATATACAATAAGTATGTTATTTTTAATAATGTCGAAATGTCATGACAGAAAAATAAATCTTCCAACTTGTAGATATAATCTTGCAAACCAGTGCATAATATTGCTCTAATAGATTTATAAGATTTATAGATTGAATTTTGTGGCAGCGGTATGCGCCGCGATAACTACTGAAGTGGATAAAACGGTGCGACACGTGTCTTCATGCGCGATAGTAGCCGCAGATTAACTCGCAGATGATGAACGAAGCACACAGAAAGAAAGAGCGAAGAGTTTCCAGTCTGACCGTTAAGTACCTGTTATCGAAACACAAACCGTCATCCTCCTAATATATTTATCAAACACGCCGTGAACGACGGCTGCGACAGGTAAGCGAGCCAGAAAGCAACAAGGTGCGGACTCACAGTATCGTCAGGATACAGAAATCCGCCTTAAATCGGAAACAAATATTTAACCAGTCTCAAGAGGGACTTTATTCTCATTCCTGCGAAAAAGCTTCCTTCGTCCCGTTATAAATGTATACTCACAAAAATATTTCATTCTTAATTATAAAAAAATTTATCTAATCAGAATATATATATATATACATTTAATATGATTAATTCGATAATCGCTTAATAATCTTAACCCTTCGGTATTACTCTCGTTTTCTCACGTATCTGCCAAACTGAGTATTGTAAAAAATATCAAAAAAATAAATGTATTATAATAAATTTTTTTCAATCAAAACACCAGATATATATCAATATAACGGTAACAAATAATTGCACGTATCTTCATTAATAAACAGATTATATATAGCAAAATAAAAAAAACCTCGGATACATTACATTAAGATTGGCACCGAAGTTAATTACGTAGTAATTAATTTTATAATGAGTATTTCAGTATATAATTGAATTAATTTCATCTTGTTGATATATGCATAAAGTTCACACTACGCTAGATAGATACGATATAGTCCGTCTCCGGATGCTGTAATTCCGAGTGACACGGGCACGATAACGTTCTATCACCATGCAAACATTTACATAACAAAGTGAAGCACACAGCAAAATGTCATGCTACCGAGTAATTTATTATTACTCGTCGAGATAATTAGGATTCAACCGTAGCTACTGAATGTGTCACGTGATTTCGCGTTACAATAATTACTACATTCGATATTTTAGTATTTCCTCTATTTAGTATTCCTCTATTCAGTATTTCTCCTATCAACCGACGTTATCAGCGTAGTTTAGAAATAAATTAGAATAGAGTACAGCTTAATAAGTGGCAAAAATAAATTTTCTTACAATGGAAAATTTCTGGTTGAAAATGGATTCTTATCATATCGATCAAAATTTCTAGTCGTAGAGATAACCAGATGTTCAATTATGATATATGACCGAAATGCTGATTGATATAATCAGAATCTACTGGGTCGTTCATTTTCCAAAAATTTTTCTTAATGTGAAGTCAGAAATAAAGATATATTTAAAGAAGCGTTTTGCGTCGTCAATAATGAGCGATTTACGTAGCACAAAATGAAGTCATAAATCTCAAGACGGAGCTTGCTTATAAGAGCACGGATAACTACCAAAGGAGGATTTATAGCGCCATTACTCATCTTACGTGCGTGTAACGCGCGACGTAATTGATAACCCAGATGACGCACCTCGAAACTGGAGCACTCGTTAGTTCTTCACGTTCACCAAGTATTGGCGTTAAAATGCAACCAAAGCGACAATCTCGTACCTGTGTAAGTGTAATATCGTAGCAGCGCTTGTATCATGATTAGATACAAATATGCAATCGAGAATATAGCAATCAATATTAGCATCAAATACAAGAACGATAATTTGTCAAGAAGAATCATCAGAATACGGAAGCTTAGTTGAGCGAAGAAGAAAAAATTGTAGTGAATAAATCTATGATGCTAATAAAATCGCAAAAACAGCTCGAGATTGTGTTATTCGTTGAAATAAGTACGATTTAAATTATGCAAGAAATATTTGTTCTATATTCCCATTTTCTTATCTAAACATGGGGAAGACTATTATATTGTATAAATGACTTATGTCTTTTTAACTCTCGTTTTTATAACCACGTTTAACGGCGCCAAGGACATGACAAGCTCTTCTCTTTTTATCTCATTTTTGGGAAACTTTGACAAAGGAAGCAAAAATGCGTTTGTTATTCCTATCGCAGACAACTATCACTGCTGATTAAGATAATTATTAAGATAATCACGTTAAAAATACTACAGTGAGAAATGTTTCGAATTCATAAGTTCTAGAGGATTTCATAAAAGTCTGTGAACCGGATATGATGAAATTCTTATTCTCGCGCGCATGTGTGTGTGTGTGTTCGTCTGCCTGTTTATGTGTGTGTATAATGTATGTCTGTATAACACATTACTTGTATTTAAATATGATTTCTCGAATATTAATCAAAAGATTACTTATAATATTTATTTATGATAGACACCTTCAATTAAACAAATAGAACACTCTCTCTCTCTCTCTCTCTCTCTCTCTCTCTCTCACACACTCATTCTCTCTTTCTCTCAAAGCACATATAAAAATGCAATTTATATATGTATATTTATTTATTTATTTACTACTACGACAATAATTATTTTGTTAAGCAAAAAAGTAATTAAAAAGATAGTGAGTAAATAAAAATCTTGAATTAAAAACTATGGCGAAGAAAACAACTTAAATCAACATTTTAGATTTGCTACTGCTTACGTTAATGCCTTACGTCTCTATTGTGATTGGCTTATTCACTTACTGCCTTACATTTTTTTTGTGCCATAGTCTTAATTCTATCCATTGTAAATTTCGCTATTATTAACTTCATATAAACCCAATGTAAACAATCTTGTTAAAATATAACAATACGTTTTCATAGCAAAACAAGGAAAGATCACAGAGGAAAATTGTCACTCACCAGAAAGAGCCGGTGATGGGGGTGACGAGGAGAAGGCAGATCGCCACGAGAACGGGGCGCATCTCCATTCCCTTCGCACCTGATAACACCCTCGAATCGATCACCGATTAGGACCGTTTCCTTTGTCCGCTCTACGCACTGACGATCGATGAAATAGTCGATTGCGACGGTGGTGTTCGTGTGAGCGCACCGGTGCGGTGTCCGGCTGTAAAGACGAGTCGACCGCGAACCACCGCGAGTTCACCAGTACGTATTCTTCAGTTCCGAATGCACCTCGTGGCCAAAGATTGGCACGCAAACTGTATGCACTGTCCCCTCTACCGCGCAACTCCCTTATCGTGTGGTCCAGTAAAACTCGACATTGCAACGTAGATCATCGCACACAAAATACCGCTGATTCTTTTTGAAACCCTCATTGATTCAGATCATTTTTGATTGGATGGAACATATTTCTTCAGGCTCGATACAGAAGCGTTGAAGAACGTTGATGATCATTGCTTACAGATGTACTTGCAAAATTGTTCGTCCTTAATTCTTCGTTCATCGAAGAATTATTCTTGATGTTGCGTTTCTCGACACGTTTTGCAAAGCGAAGATGCCGAGATTACGCAGCCATGACGATCGCGGTGAACACTTGATCTTCATGATCGTATCGCACTGAAAATGCTTGAGGGCGATCGGAGATATCCTTCGTTGGAAGAGACATGTCTTTGAGACCGCGAAAAAGGAGCTCGCGATTCAAGAAAGACCCGGAAGAGGAGCACTGACTTCCGGTCCCTTGGACCACTTACTCCCCTCTTTTTCCCCCTCCCCAGCCACCCTCTGTCCTTCTCACGCACCCGCTGGCTCCCTCTTCCTTCTCCTCTTTGTCTGTCAAAGTACCTGATGTTTCTCTTCTTTCTCCTCTCTTTCTTTACTTCCGTCTGTTCTTTTTCTTCCTCTTTCCCAAAAGTGTCAATTATTTATAAGGTACAGATGAAGCGTAGTAAAGTCCTCTTTTCTTGATACGTGAGCAAAAACGCATCGCGTTCCTGCCAGAACTACGTCACCACAATCTTTGAGTGTTGCCTTATCCCCACCAATAGAGTTCTGGGGAGTAGAGAAGAGCTGCCCCCACCAATATATTCCGTTTTCTTCTTCCTCTTCTTCTTCTTCCTCTTCTTCACCAGCACCAGCACCACCACCACCACAACCATCACCATCGCCGTCGTCGCGAGACCATCGCCACCGACGCCCGCGACGGGTGCATCTTCGACTTCGCCGTCGCGAAAAACGTCGATCTTCGTGAAAGGGACCGTCCCCCACGAAGATATTGAAGATTCTTCAAGTAGATTGACGGATCAATCAGAAAAAATTAGATTCGCGAATTTCGTGTAACACGTGCAAAATTATAAGCGAGAACGAGAACGAGAGGGAAATCAACAGAAGGACAGAAATAACGGAAATAAGAGGGGAGGATCGGGGGTGGGGGGGGGGGG